AAAATGATTATTTTAGTTTAATAATGTCTATTTTATAATTATAATCTCAAAAAAGAATGAATAAAAAAGTATTTTATGGTAGGAAGTAGAAAACTGTTAGGCGATTAGGCGAGGCGAGCCTCAAAGGGCGCCTTGTTGCCTAGGCGTCACCTTAACAACTATGTTGATAGCTATACTTGTTTATATGAAAGACTATACAGAAAGACTATCAAAAGATGGATCCACGGTTATGGTAGTATTATGTTATCCTGCCTGAAATAGATATCTGAATTCATCAACAAAATCCATCATTATGAAGGTTTAACTAGGATAATCATCATCCTCTTGCTTTTAATTTGCTTCATTCAGAACCTTGTAGGGCTCTCTTTTGTTTTCATCTAAGAAACCTAGGTCCTGACAGAGGGTGGGCCTTGGTGCAATCAAGGTTCAAAAAATCGATACGATACGCCCCGTATCGGGTGTATCATATTGTATCTTTTGGGTCCCGAAACACCTGTTTCCCAAAAACCAAAATTTGAAAAAAAAAACTAAAAAAAAAGTTAATTTCGTATGTATCTAAGTATAGATACGCCTCTGCCGATACGCAGAGGCGTATTGATACTTCGAACCATGGGCACAATGGTTGGGTTGCTCCATTGTGACCTGGGTGACCAGGGTTCAAATCTTGGAAACAACCTCTCTGTATGTGCGGGGGTAAGGCTGTGTACATCTGTCCCTCCCCAGACCCTGCATTGGCAGGAGCCTTGTGCACTAGGCTGCCCTTTTAAGCCTAGGTCCTGACAGTTCCAAAGTAAATAATTCATCTTATTTATCAGATTGGAATCACCCTGCTGCATAATGTAGTGTAAGCACTTCACATGTATCCTTTCATCCAAATCAGATTGTATTTCCATTTTCCAATAATTCAACAAATTCCTGAAGAATCTTTTTACAGTTAATTTTAATTTCAACTAGGACATGGTCAACTTTGGAGAGAATTAAAACATTGCACACTTTGCAAGAGTCAAAGGGATTGAATGGTACCAAATATTATATTTTTCTTGTTTGTAGATCATTTCTTAAATTGTTAAAAGGCTATATAGGATAGGTAAATTTTCCTCACAGCCAAAAGGTGATAAATTCTAGACCCTGCAAAAGCTCCACTTTCTATGTTGTAATGGAAAATTATAAAAAACAAGATAGTCTTAAGAAATATAGAGATATACACCGAGGAAATAAAATAATATAGTGAAAAAAAATTCTGAATATGACCTGGGATCATACATAACAAAGGAGAAAACAAAGCCAAAATGTAGCCACAACTCACAGTATCAACGAAATCATCAGCAATCTCTACTAGAATTTCTTCAACTTCAGGATCCAGCCTCTCAGAGGGGTCGATCTGTCCAAGGAGCAGAAAACATAAATGCCATAAGACAATTCTGTGTGAATAACACACATGCACACACATTTTGCATGAATACTGAGATGTCATACAAATTAAACCATAGCCAGTTGTCAAGAAAAAACTGGAAATGAGTTTGATTATGAGGACTAGTGTTTCAGAATTATGTAAATAATACAAAAACATAGTTACCTTTCAAAAATATAGAATATAGTTCAACAGTGAAGCTGAAATAAAAGAAAGCCACAATTACATCTCTAAGTATATATATTCTTGTATGCCGCTATGTTGAGTAAGGATATTTTTGTAATTTCCTCCTTTAAACACTAAGTATAAATAGTCTGGGTGGCCCAATCCTGTGGTAACTTACCCACTTCGATTCATATTCTCTTCTTTTCATTTCTCTCTTCTTCTACTTTCTCTCTTCCATCTCCAATCACTTTTCTCACTCTTCTTCAATCCTAATATGGCATCAGAGCCAATAGTAGGATCCCAAGCCCAAGGGTTGCTGTTTTCTTCTTTGTAGCACTCAATGTTTCTGCAGCAAATCTTGGTAGATTGAAAAGGCTCAAACAGGGACTATGGCTACTAGTGTGGGGGTTTCTAACATGATTTAAGGTATTTTTTAAAGGGGATTAGAGAACCAATTTAATCAATTTTATATTTTTTCCTATTTTTACTTCTGAAAATAGGAGAAATTCAGATATGGGTTTTTGATCATGGAGCCTTGTAGAGGAACTATTTCCATTTGGAACTTGATTCAGTTTGATGCAGAACATATTTTGTGATCAATAGAACTTTGTTTAAGAATTTTTGGAGAGCATCTGATTTTTGGCGATTTTTTCTCTTCCTATATTGCCGCCTTTCCTGGTTATCCTCTGCTGCCACTTGTCTTTCTGGGTTCATCTTCGATACTGGAGCTATTTCCTTGGTTGAACTTATTAATTAGGAGTTGATCAGAAATGGCTCATGACTCTTCTACTGAAAGGTCTACTTCTACTTCAATCCTAAGACAGTCTTTTACATCTCTAGGGAGAACAATATTAACCTTCAGATTACCACTATAAAACTAGACAGGACAAATTTCCTGGAGTGGTCACAATCTGTGAAGAGAAAGAGGTCCAAGGATGATGGCCCAGCTATGGATGTTTGGGAACAGGAAAACATGATCATGTCCTGGTTGTGGAATTCAATGACTCCTCAAATCAACAGGGGTCATATGTTTCTTAAAACTGTGGCACAAATATGGGGTACGGTCAATAAAACCTATTCCCAAAGGAAAAATGGAGCAAAAATATTTCAGTTGAGGTCATATATAGCTAATCTTAAATAAGGGGAGATGAGTGCCCCTGCTTATTATGCTGCTTTGGAGGCATTGTGGGAGGAATTCGACTATTACAGTGTTATTCACTGGAAAGATGATGAGAATGCAGAAACACATTAACAACTGAAGAATAAAGACAGGGTGTTTGAATTCTTATCAGGTTTAAATCCTGATTATGAAATAATTAGGATGCAAATGCTGGGCTGCAGTGACGTTCTATCCATTGATGGTGTTTATTCTATCATCCAACAGGAAGCTACAAGGAGCACAGAGATGAAGTTAGAAATAGACCATTCAGCACCTGTTGCTATGATGGGCGGGAATAAGGGCTCAAGAAAGAAGCATACCAGGGGGAAGGAAGATAAGGACAGCCTTGTATGTGATTATTGTAAAGGAACTCAACACACTTGGGAAACATGCTTTAAGTTGCATGGATACTGATCATGGTTCAAGAAGGGAAAACAATCTCAGAAGCCAAGTGCTAATAATAATAGTCTCTGACAAACCTACTTCCACTTCTACTGGGAATTCCTTTACAGTGGATCTTCACACTGCCCCGGGAAGAACTAAATCGCCTCAATAAACTCTTTGCTCATCTTGAAGCTACCAGTAGCACAGCTCCTCCTTCAGGTGGTAATACTGCCTCATCTTCCTCCATTCACTCAGGTAACCTATCCTCTAGTCAAGCCTCCAACTCTTTCTAAGTCATTGATTTGGGAGCTTCCGACCATATGACTGGTATGTCTAACCTTCTTTCTTCCTATCAACCCCTATCAAGCAAGGATAAGGATAGGGTTACAGGTGGGTCACCCTCCTCTATATCTAGGAAGGGTGATATTCATTTGCACTCTAAATCTTACTCTATCCATTGTTCTTAATGTTCCTCAATTAACTAAAAATTTACGTTCCATCAGTCATTACCAATAACTCCAACTGTAAAGTAACCTTCTTTTCTAACTCTTGTGTTTTTCAGGATCTGAAGACAAGGAGGGTGATTGGTCGTGGGCTTGAATCCTGCGGACTCTACGACATGGATTCTACCTTTAAGCTGTTTGCCTTGCAGTTTTCTTGTCAAAGTCCGAATAAGTCTAGAGTATATCAATGACATACTAGACTTTGTCAACTCAGTTTTCAGTCTTCRAAAGTTCTGTTTCCTGCACTTTTTAAGTCAACTTTTATAGCTATGGTTCCCAAAAAAATAGGAGGCACGAGTCCCAAAGGATTTGACTCATAAGCCTAGTAGGAAGTGTCTATAAAATCATAGCAAAAGTGCTAGCTGGGAGACTGAAAAATGTCTTGCCATTGGTAACATCTCAATTTCAATGAGCCTTTGTTGAAGGGAAACAAATTAATGATGAAATTTCGGTAGCTAATGAGTGTGTAGCAGAAAAAATTTGAAGGAGAGGAAAGAGGCTGATTTGCAAGTTGGACCTAGAGAAGGCCTATGACGTAGTAGTTTGGTCTTTCCTTCATGAGGTTCGAGAAAAGATTGGGTTGGGTGAATGATGGAGGATGTGGATCAAGGGTTTTTAAGCTCAATGCATTACTCAATTTTAATCAATGGTGTGGCTAGAGATTTTTTTCCAGCAAAAAGAGGCTTGAGACAAGGAGATCCCTTATCCCCCTTCCTGTTCACATTGATAGTAGAAGTTTTAAGTAGAATGACCATTAAGGCTGATCAGGTCAACTTGTTTAGAGGTTGGGAAGAAAGGCATGAGGTGGCACCGTGGCAGTTACTCATTTGCAGTTTACAAATGATATTATCCTCTTTTGTAAGGGTGATAGATAAGACGGTCTGAGGAATCTGAAGGAAATCATCAATTCCTTTGAATCTGTATCCAAGTTGAGAGTGAATTTGGTAAAGAGCTATGTAGTAGGGATTAATGTGGAAGAGGAGGATTTGAGTGTACTAGCAGGGATTCTAGGGTGTGAGATAAGGAAGTGGCCAATGGAATATTTAGGGCTCTTGGGTGAGAATCCAAGATCAAAAGGTTTTTGGAAACCGATGGTAGAAAGATTTTCCTGGCTCTCTGGAAGAGGAACTACATTTTAATGGGTGGGAGAATAACTCTGATTAGGGCAACTTTTCTATTTGCTTCCTTTCCACCCTCCAAAACCCAACTAGGATAGAAAGGCAATTAGAGAAGCCCATGAGGAATTTCCTTTGGAAGCATGGGGATGAGAAGAGGGATCATCTAGTGAAGTGGGAACAAGTTAGCAAAACAAAGGAGCAAAGAGGGCTTGGAATAGGGAACTTAACTCATAGGAATGCATCTCTGCTAGCAAAATGACATTGGAGGTTTCCTTTGGAAAGAGACAGGCTATGGCATAATGTTATTGCAAGCATACATAGGATGATGAACAATGGCTGGTATGCAAAGGTAGCCCCTTTTTCAACATCAACTTCTACATCAAAATCAACTCAAGAGGTATACCCAACTTATATCAACTTCACTAAATTTGATGTGGGATGTGGGACTAGAGTCTTGTTTTGGGAAGATCTATGGTTGGTTAAAACTCCTTTGAGTTCTCTTTACCATAGCCTTTACTCTTGTCAAGCTATACGCTACAACCAATATCAAGGTTTGTTACCTTTTCTCCTTCTAGCTTAAATTGGGATTTTGGTTTTAGAAGGGGATTGAGGGATAATGAATGTGAGGCCCTTGTTCAGTTGTTGGACAAGCTTAAGTCAGCCTTTTTGGTTCAAAATGTGAAGGCCACTAGAGTTTGGTCTCCTTCTCCTGATGGCATCTTTAATTGTGCCTCTTTTTTCAATACCCTTGTGTAGTCCAATACAGTGGGGGAATTGTTCCTAGTGAAAGAGATTTGGAGTAAACCTATCTCACCCAAAGTTAAAGCATTGTGTTGGGAAGTCTTCCTATAAGAGATCCAAGATGTATTTCCTTTGAAAAATGAATATTCCCCTTTTTGAGCAAACAACTTCAATTCAAGGAAATACCTCAAGGGACTTAGATCCTTCACCTCAAACTAAGTGGCTAAAAACTTCTTGAGTTTTTGAATCTCACCTGTACAATCCCCAGTGACTACTACATCATCAACATATACTATTACTGCTGCAATTTTTCCTTCCCCCCTCTTCACAAATAGAGTATGGTCAAACTGGCACTGCTTGAAACCAGTCTATTGCATGGCTAAATGGAACCTGCTAAACCAAGCCCTCAATGATTGTTTTAGTCCATACAAGGATTTCTTCAATTTGCATACTTTTTGTTCACTACCTTTAGCACAAAAACCAGGAGGTTGAGTCATATATACTTCTTCTAGATCACCATTTAAGAAAGCATTATTGATATCTAGCTGATGAATATCCCAGTCAAAATTGGCTGCCAAAGAGAGGAGAACTCTAATAGAGTTCATCTTGGCAACTGCGGCAAAGGTCTCGACATAATCTACTCAATATATTTGTAAGAATCCTTTCGCTACCAACCTAGCTTTATATCTTTCCATTGTACTCTCAGCCCTATGTTTCATTGTAAATACCCACTTGCACCCTACTAGTTCCTTTCCATTAGGAAGATCCACCAACTCCCATGTACCATTTTTATGAAGAGCACTTATTTCCTCTTTCATTGCATCTATCCATTTAGGAACTCATAAATGCCTCTACCACATTCTAAGGGATAGGAATACTATCAATAGAAGAAAGAAAAGC